ATGTGAAAAAAACAATCAAATCCAAAATAAATAATGAAATCAGACAAGGTGGACAAGGCTTAGTGTTTGTTGGATTCTGCACATTTCATGTATGCCACAATGTAGAATTGAAAAGCCCAGAAGAAGGCCTCATTATTTCTGTGCACTACATTTTCAAAAAACAGCATTGCAGAAAGGAGAATTTCTCAAACAAGCTGGAAGAACTGGATTTGGAAGTACTTCCTTTCTGAAACACAGCCAAACCCACTGGCTTACTCTAATACCAACAATCCAGAGATTTAAGAAGCTGTTACCAGGATTGGTCGAATAATCAAATTGGCTGCAAAAATATGACAAGGTACTACTGGTGGAGATGGCATTTTTGGAGCACCTGAAAGGCCTACTAGATATGTATATAATGGTAATGCAGAGTTCATCTTCTACATTACGGGTCCAGTATGAGTATGTGAGCACACTGCTCTCAACTCTAGCCATGAGACTCATGAAGGAAGAGGTAACATTTTGTATTGATTGTGAAGTCATGTGGGAATATACTAGTTGTATGAACATGATGAATGGTTGTAAATATAGTTGTGTGGATATTACTAGCACAGTTGGCTCATTGTCTAGAATGATCAACCAAGCTGGCCTTAATTCAGCCAAATCTTAACCTACAAATCATGGCTCCCAATGAGGAAAGGCCAGGTTTACCCCCTCAGAAATATACAGATCAGTTATCTTTTTTATGCAAGAAATCTGAAGACACATACCAGAACGTGTACCATTCATTAGTTAAAGTATAGTATGAAGAAGAGGTTAAATGCCTCAGGATTTATGTTCAGTGCATCTGCAACTGAGTTTAAATTTACATCACCTTTGTGTTAAGTTTTTAAAGACAGGAATTTCGAAATCATTCATCATTGTTTGATAACTTAGCAAGCATATTGTAAAACTGTACACTGTGAATAGTACTAGTACCAATGTAATAAATACGAATATGAACATACCATCATAATAACTACATTGAAAGCATGAATCTTGTATTTGATTATGCATTTAAGAAGAAAAAACTTGACTTTTCAGATGGTGGATCATCACAGTGGAACCATAAGTATACTAATTAGGAAATTTGTTACCCTTTAGATATGTTCCTGTTGGGGACTAATATCCTTTTGCAACGTTATTTTTTTCTTGTTACACTTACCTACTGATTAATCCTTAAGTTAAGGATTTATTTCATGTTTTAGGTGATACATTTTTACTATAGTAAACTGTAGCACTAAGAAAATCCATCAAGATAGTTGATGAAAAAAAGTGCTAAAATAGCTTTTAATTTGGCTAAATTGAACCTTTAATTGTTACACAATAAGAGAGCTCAGAACTTTGGTTTTTGCACTAGTGTTAAAGGATCCTTTTCACTACATTCCAATGCATACATTACCACTTATCTTAGGGCAACCTGTATGCAAAGCACTACTATCATTCCACTGATTGACAGGTTGTATTCTCAAGTAGTTTTCCTGAAATCTGAGAGAAAAAGGCAATACAAAGAAAATGCAATACAGTCTGCAGTATAATTTGAAGGCATCCAAAGACACATGTGAGCCTGCTGTTTTTAATGAAGATCCTGAAAAACTATTGAAAGTTTTGTTTTTTTGCTCATTGTATACAAATGACTTCAAGGCAGAAACCACTATTGACGGTGTAAGGTACTGGATATTTTATCTGAAGCAACTAAGGAATGAAAACCCAACATTTACATCAGAGTGCCTCATGTTGCATATGGCCAGAGCAACCTGCAAATTTTACATATGAAAGAAATCATTTGAAGCTTTACAGAACTTACCTAACCTAATCGCCATGGTTAGATTGAAAGAGGACTGTTTGAAGTTCTACAATGGGCTATCTGCCCACCATGGGTATTGAAACCAGGATTCTAGCATTGTAAGTGTGCCACTGGGTGGGGTGGGGGGGTGGGGTTATGGTTATGAAAAGGCATATTATAAATGATCCACCAAACTCTTCACACCTGTGAATCTTGCAGTATTTGCAGCAGATATCTGTGCTGTGAAGAAGGGTAAAGTTTCAAATGAAGTACCACTAAAAAAAAGAAACTTAACCAAGTTGTGTATCATATAAAAAACAATTCTTTAGTGAGAGCAGTGATAAAGAAAATGAGGAACAATGAGAAGAAAAAGCAGTGTTTCATATTTTGAATGATGATGACGACATTGTACACATCCCCAAAATTGTTTAGGGTATACATGTGTTTGTTCAATTCAACTTAAAATTAAGTATATAAAACTAAGTTGGAAAAGTTGAAAGAATAAATTATGATGCAATAAGTTTCACTCATGACATATGATGTAGGAAATAGCTCTGTCTGGCCAAAAGGAAAGCATGGTGTTAACATCTTTTAAGAAAATTCAAGATTTACCGATATCCCAATCAATGAAAACTATCACAAAAGTACTTTTTTTTTAATCATTGACTGTTTTCAGTTTCCATTTACTAGTACTTAAGTTTATGTATTTCCATTAGTTATGTTCATGTAATATTCATCAGTTACTGTTTACTAATATTGGATTCATGTATTTTCAGTGTAATAAAAAAACACTGTCAGTGTTCCAAGTATTTCTACTGGGAGTTAAGGTGAATATTTCATAAGTTAAAAGCATCTGTTCCATCTATTGTCCCATACATTGGGTTACTGGGGACAAAAATGTCCTTTCTAAAAAAATAATTAAATGAGATAGGTGATAAACCTATGGCTAGTTACATCACTGCATTATAATTATCTATAACTTACAACATGAAACATACTAAAGACAAAGATATATTTTAAGAAGTTTTAAAAAGTGTACAAAATAACGCTTATGCCCCTCACAATACCCCAAAAGTATGACATATCTTGAGGTACATCAATTTTGAAACACTTAGAAGTAGTGTGTGTTACATCACTGCATTATAATTATCTATAACTTACAACATGAAACATACTAAAGACAAAGATATATTTTAAGAAGTTTTAAAAAGTGTACAAAATAACCCTTATGCCCCTCACAATACCCCAAAAGTATGACATATCTTGAGGTACATCAATTTTGAAACACTTAGAAGTAGTGTGTGTGCGTGCACATGCGTGTGTAGAAGTTTTTGTCCCAAAGTTTAAGATTAGATCCAGTTGCATATACAAAGAATGACAAAAATTGGAATGATAATATAACTACCTTTTCTAGAACTTTAAAATCTAAATAGAAATAAAATTTTTATAAATTATTTACAAAAATTTATATTTATGATCATATTTAAGAAATTGCTGAAAAAAAAATTTAAGAAAATTCTAATTGATCCCAAAAAATGTCTAATAAAGATCTGCACTTATTAATCAAAATTTCTTCAAAGTTCACCAGTTTGTCAGCCTTTTGTAGTAGTAGTATCTACAATTCAATAACATGCAAATTATAGTACTATATTCAAGTTATAATCAAGTATGGGAGAATTACTATTAATAAAATCCCAAGTTGCAACATTTTACTCAGAGAATTACTATTAATAAAAGCTGAAGTTACCATATTATACTCAAATTAGTTATAATACTGCATTCCTAGTTAGTTTTCAGTCTTTCATACTTAATATTTATGTACATATATAAAATAAACGCATTGTGGTTGTTTTCTGAAAGAGAAGTACAATTTACTTACATTGCTTTTTATGCTATTAATTCAACTATAACATTTCTTGAAAGATATGGATTCAGTACTCTAAAGCAGTGGTCCCCAACCAGTGGGCCGTGGACCGGTGCCGGTCCGTAGATCAATTGGTACTGGGCCGCACAAGAAATACAGTTTAGA